CCTCTAGTTTGCGCTCATTCCTATAATTCGATTATTTGACACTAAGATAATTTTGTGTCTTCCTAACGAATAAATTAAAATAGAAAATCGTGTCAAATTTCGAAACGCTACAGAAGCTATGCAAATTTAGAGCACACTGTGCCCAGCTTGCCGTAATCGACGTTCAGCGTAACGAACGTGTTCCATCGGTAATTAAACCGACTGCTGATGACGAAGAAACGTCAAAAATTCGAAAGGCAGTCTAAATGTGCAAGATCCGCGTCGGATGTAAATTTTTCGGTCACGTCCAAGCGAAGGGGCCATTGCGAATTTCCAGCCGCTGTCCTTTACCCCGAATCTCGAGATACCGTGGATTTTACGCGGCCGTATATCTCGTTTATAGAGCACGCCCCGTTGGACGGTCTATTTTTATTCAGGTAACACATTGTAAATCACGAGAAACGCGCGGCGTTCCACTTTCATAGAAGCGTTCGAACGCGTCGCGCTCGTTCTCCTCGAAATTCCCCCGCTTACGTCACGATATATCGAGCACCGTTCTTGTAACACGGCCGACGTATCTCCCCTTGTATCCTGACACGGGGAATGCGTCGAACGAGTTCGTTAACCATTCTTCTTTTCCCTCGTCCCCCGTATCGTTCCCCTTTCTTCCCTGTTCCGCGCGGATCCGCGCTCTTTTCGCCAGTGATCTCATAATTACGCGCGTGGGTGGCTTTCTCGCGACGAGTCTCGTTATCTGGACCAGCAACCAGCTCGTCCACTACCTTCTTCTCAGATAGTTAGGTGGTTAGGTTGTCATCGAAGAGATTTAGAACGAGGTTCCAGTCTAGCGAGATGATGCGACGCAATTTTTCTCCTCATTACGGTTTAACCCTTTCACTCCTGCAGACGTTGTATGACGTCACGCTACAACATGGCTGCCGGATTGTGGACAACGTGTGATACAACGTCCGTGGATTTCAAAGCTGTCAGAACTTAGTAAAATCTTCCTAGACCCTTATAATGCATGTTACTATATTTTGATTATGTCTTTATTAGCGTTGTAGTAAGAAACTAACTACTAAAGTACAATCTAGATCCTAGCAACGTGGGGTCGATCCCTTCCTCTGTATTTTGCCTTTTGTCTCCCGTTTTCTAAATACGTCTTTGACCTGAGTGACCCTGAATAGACAGGCCAGTTCTAACTGTTAGCTCGTTTAATAAACATCCATACAGTTTTTCCACCGTGTCCACTAGCTGCTATTTCTCTGCAGTGTACCTCCTTAACAATTGGATTTAAACAAAACTGAAACCAGTTAAATTAACTCAGGACAGTTTGCTATTCTCTCCGTAACTCAGGAGTGAAAAGGTTAAAGAACAATTCGACTCAAGGAATCTCCGTGTCCGATCTGCAAATACAATCTCCGAGTAACCTTACCGTTATGCTCTCGAGTACCGGCTCGTACGTTCATCGACGCCTGTGCCGGTTCTAGAGCAAGCTCCCGAGGGGTGGCTTTCTATCGCGACTGTTTAACGGATGACTTTCGCGCGATATAGAATCACTTAGCCAGATGGTTTAGCCGAAAAGAAAAAGGAAAGGGGGAAAGAGAAAGAAGGGAAAAGATGGGAGGAACTTGTAGCAAGCGAGACGAGAGTATCATCCGTGCAGACTGGACAGGTGCGCGTCAAGTGGAGGGAGGAAGAGGGAAAAAGAGGTGATCTGTCTTGGTATGCCGGAGGGACCAGCCTCCTTTGGAAGCTGCGATTCCAAGGTCCGCTGTTGCCAGTTGCTATTCATCTGACCCGAATATTTTCACTCGTTAAAGCTCGATATCGATAGCGACGACAAAGGCAGCCTAGCACCAGTGGATGTTCCCCGCGAGTTCGATGGAAATTGGAAATGTAAAAAGGGTTCTGGGATTAGGAAACGCTCTTAAGAGATGTTTTTCGATTCATCTTAGAAATTCATTTACGCCTTGACTGCCACGAAATTTTTATATAATACGTTCAGGAGGTCACGATAAAATTTCCATTATTCTTAGGATATAACTACGAATTATCAAAAAATATGGAAAAGGTGGAAAGAATTGTGCAAATTATAAATATTTTCACTCAAAGTTCTCTATTCGTTTGCGTTGTTCAAATATTCAAGAATTGGTTGGAATAAAAGAAATATAAATTTAAAAAGTTAGCATTGCTAGGCACTGGTGACCACCATGGCCTCACTGAGGAGGCAAACGCTCACTGATGACCACTATGGCAGTCAACGTGTTAAGCCTTTAAATAAGAAATAGATGTCGGGATTTTTATATTTGCATGGCTAGGTGTATTACTGTTGAAAAATATACGAGCTGCGATCAGCGAGATACGATCGAACGATTTCTTACGCAGATGAAAAAGCGTGTACTTTTTATTAATTATTCTATCAATGCGGTTCTACGGGGAAAATCCTCGATGTATCTAAGAGTGGATCGCGATTGATCGGAGACGATACGAGGGGAAGAGGAATCGCGAAACGAAGGAAGAAATGAGGGAAAAAATGGAGAGCAAAGTTGAGTCGCCGTGGAAGGATTTAAAGATCTGCAGATCTCCGCAGGCTTCTAGAGTCGCGGTAACGACTGTTTACCAGCGGGAAAAACGTTAAAACGCCGCGATTGGATGCAACAATAGACAGCTATTCGAACGGAGCGATTTTTCATGGAAAGATATAGCTGGAAAAGTGGCACTTATGACGTAATCGTCAGCAGTGGACGCGTAATTCACGACCGATTACGGTTCAGTTATTCCATCATAAATCCGCGGCCGAAGCGGTTAGCTTCGTTTCGTTTGTTGGTTTTTGCGCGAATATTAAGTCGCCTCGTGGAACATGAGGTAACACAACAGCGTGTGCTCTAAGCAAGTTTATTGCAGTTTAAATTATATACCGCCGCTAACCGTTCCAGCAAAACATTCTTTCTTAATGAGCGTCTTATTTCACGTTCGCCTTTGCTCATATTTGGGTTAACGTATGGAGGAATGTTCCCCTGTACGCGATCCTGTCACAGGATGCCGACATTTTTTCCTGTATTCCTGCACGCGCGCGTTATTCATCGAAATATCCTACACTCGCGGATAATCGATCTCTTAAGCGTTGCGAGAGAGGAGGAGATGAAAGTCGTCGTTTTAATTGCTCTATATATCGCTCTATACTGTCTGTACCCTGGATAGCTCGCAAGTACCGAGATCGAATTTGTCTGTAAATTCGAATTAATTTAAAAATCCAATTAACGACGAGAAACTGAAACGTAAATGTATTCACGTCTGAGGACTGTCGATCAGTGGTCCGTAAGGATTATAAAATTTTTTCAAGCATTGGAAGAAGTCGAGGATTAAGAGTATCTCGGGATTTAAGCGACGTTCTTAGCATGACAGGGAGAATAAAAATTACAGGGGTTCGTTGACAGCAATTACTACGTTGTTTCAAAGTCTCGGATGTCGCTCGAAGAGGGTGCCGAGAGTAACGCGGTGTGCATCATCGGAAGTTATCAGAAGTTAACCATCCGCGTCGTCCGTTGCTCGAAGATTATGCTAATATCTCGGAACATTTCATTTTCAAACGTGTTTGTTCGTCTAAAGATAAACCGATCGACGCCGTGGAAATTACGCAGCGCGATCCCGGGCATTACCCCAAGAATCCTGCGAGACCGGGTCCCAGGGGTGATCGAACACGAGTTTCTCGACGAAAACGATGCTTTTATTAGGACCGAACGACTTTCGAGGCAAAGTAATTCGACAATAATACCAGGATAAGTGTTTAATCCTGAATCCGCTTCGAGAGATCGCGCGATCTGTGACTCGAGCAGCTCTCGTCAGCCCAGTTAATTCCTTTTACCGACTATCCCAAAGAACCTCGTGCTCGAGAAGAGATCGAAATCGTCGAGAAAGATTTTCTTTCCTCGAAAACGATAATCACGGTCGATCTAACGCACGGCGCAAACCCGGTCGGGTCCCAGAGCAGCTCTACTCACGGGATGCTAATTGGCAGAGTATAGGCACGGAGGAGGATAGTCGCGCAGAAAGACGGAGAAGACGAGGGTGTACGAGATGGTGGTGAAGGTGAGACCGGTCCGGCGCGATTTACCAATCGATCGGATGATCGCGAGCAGTCGGAGGATCGCGTCGATCGCCGAGCAATCGGTACGATTTAAAGCGAGGAAGGATCGAGGTGACGACGTCCACTGTCGCAGCTTCGCGCTGATGCCGGCACGCGATGCGAGATGGAGCTAATGACTAAAAGAGAGAGCTAATAATCGCGAGAACGCGGGAATTAGCTAAACGGGCGTCAGATAAGGCGGGCCCTGTCATTGGGGGACGCGTCGATGGAAAATTATACGCCCGCTCGATCGAACTCCCCAGATACCTGGGCAAGGCGATGGTCCGAAATCGTCGTCGTCGGTTCGACTGGACTCCGTTACTCGCGAAGATGCAAGCGGAAACCGAGAGACGAGGTAAACCGAGCAGGAAGGTAGCATAAGATCGGCGCGGAGCGGTGGAACTGGACGAGGAACGAGGTTGATCGAACGCAATCGTGCATCGCGACGAGGTGGAAGCGAGAGGACGGAAGGGCTAGGTTTGGATACGAAGGTAAAAGGAAGAAGAAGATCGCGGGTACGCGTGCACGAGCAAAGGGGGACTGGTAAATCGTAGCGTACCCGGTGTTCTCGGGCCGCAGGTATCACGGATAAGTCCGAGAAGAAACGGGGCAGCATCGACGGCGAGCGGCGAGCGGCGAGCGGCGAGACAAAGAGGCGGCTCGCTGCTCGTGGTCGAACGGAGACAAGTTGCTGCGGGGCCTGTCGAGGTGGGGAATCACCGAGTGGACAGTCGTGGCGAGGAAGAGGAGCTCTGAGGAAGTGCGCGCGCGAGAGAAAGGGACACGGCGCGTTGGCGCGCGGGCAACGGAGAGGACAGCTGAGAGGAGAGTTGGTATCGGCGACGGCGTTCTCTCGCGAAGGTGGACGAAGCTGCTGCGGTGATGGTGATACCGATGGCATCGGCCGTGGTAGCGGCGATACCGATGGTGGTGGCGGTGATGGTGGTGGTGAGGATGGCGGTGGAGAGGAAGGTAGTGGTAGTGGCGGTGATGGTGGTGGTGGTGGTGGTGGTCCAGCGGACATATCGTGCGGGCCCGACGCTTGCTCTCGACGCAGGAGAGAGATTTGCCCCCTCCTGCCGCGGGCGGCGCCACTCGAGGAGATCCTTTCCTCTTTTCGCCTCTAGGCCATTCTCGAGAGGCGCGCGCGGCAACGCGGTGTCGCACGATCGGTCCTCGTCGACCTTCGACCAATACGCGCGCTTCTACATACGTGCTTCGGCCAGCTTTTCGCGGATCGACTTTTCCAAAACTGCGCCACGTTCCGCGCGATCGCTCGCGCGCAGGTGCTCTCCTCTTCGTTCGTCGTGTCCCCTCTTGGCCTCGTCGTAGCTGTCCTTGCTCCGCCGTGGCCGTCCTCTCCGCCCCCACGTGACACCGGCGGCCACGTGACCGAGATCCAGACCGCGGATCTTCGCCGCTCAACGTCAACATCCGTCGCACGGCCCCCGAGGGATTCGCCGTTCCTCTCGTAGACGCACTCCTGTAGCCCGAGGATGTTTCCACGTCGTGCGCGTTGATCGACCTGTCGTTGCGTAACAACGGGGCCCGGCTCACGGTGTTTCCGTCTGGGGACTCGTCCAATCGTGTCGGACATCGGCCAAGGAAACGCGTGTGCTGTTTGTTCTTGTTCTTGTTGTTGTTCTTCTTGTTCCCGCTATTGTGCCCGTGGCGGCAGGAATTTCGAGTCGACGCCTCTGGACGAAGAGAGAGAGAGAGAGAGAGAGAGAGAGAGTCGAAGGTGGTCGGATCGGTGATCCAGCTGGGAATACGAATGAATGGAGACATCGATCCGGTGACGGTGCAACGTGCAACGAGCAGAGAGAGAGACACGATTCAGGTGGATCGCGACTCGTCGATCAGTGACAGTTTGGAAATTCGACGCGCGAACCGTGGCGATTGATCGAGGTCCGAGGAGGCGAAAGAGGAACGGACGACCGAGGTTAGAATGAACGTGCGCGAATCGTGGTGCACGAGGCTTCGAGCAGCAGGATCGAGAGTCGCGATGCCGGCAGGAAGTGTGCGGGAATCGATCGGTGCAATCTTATTACCGGTAGCGGTTCGCGACTCGATTCCACGGTGAAATCGGGCCGAGTCGAGCGGGTAAGCTGAACGCGAGAACGGTAGCAGGCCAGGAACGTACGTTACGATCGAGCTCGCCACGTGACTGTTCTCGCGACTGGCGAAGTTTTTGCGTCGTTTCAGCGCGTCTGCGCTCAGCTCTCGCGAAACCGCTTTGCTCTTCCGACCGATCCGATCGCGTCGATTCCTCGTGCCTCCGTCTCGAGTGCGCGTGAAACCGTGCGCGTGAAACACGCCTAACTCCGTTTTGCCTCACGCTGCCGCTGCTGTAAGATCCGGCCGTGACCGCGCGTAAATCCGATCCACGATACGTCATCGATCGCGTCGTTTAACGCGGCACACCGGTCCACCTGTGTAATTCGCCGAGGTTTAATTACGCCGCGACGGCCGCGTTATTAAACTGGACGAAGGGATCGCCCGCAAGAATTCAGGTTTGCTGCGTGATCGATCAGCGGAACCGGTGGAAAGCCGGAGACTTTAATGCCCGCAGAGACGCGCGCCACGGGATCGTTTTACGTCTGGTTTCAAAGCTGCGTGCTTGGCGCACACGTGAACCTTCGTGCCAGTTGCTCGTTGACTGAAAGCCGATCGTTTCGTCGGTGAATCTCGCTACCACGCGTAAACTCGACTTCTCCATGTATTCCAGCCAGTCGATGGAAACGACGTATCGACTTCGCCGCGTTACGTCCTCGACTTTAAACTCGCCTTAAATGGCACTAGCAAACGAACCTACTCCGAACGCGTAAACCGTCCAATTCGGACCAAATATCGAGCCGTGAACGAGAATACGCGAGTAATTCGTCCATATAGGCGTACCGCACGCGCGAGCGTTCGATTTTTCAGAGATCGTTCGATACCGATTCGATTTTCCGTGAACCGTGCACGATCACAGGGATCCTCGTTGCGCGCCCAAGAGTGCTCGCCAGCAGGTGTTTCTGTCGGCGTTGACACGGACGCGCAGCTCGACGACCGGCCGGTCACCGAGAGGAAAAAGAGGGTCAGGCTCGTCTGGAAAATTGGATGTGCTCCGACGGGATTCTGTTTAGCGGTGAGCGGCACCGTTATCGGGGACAGGCGATTTATCAGCCCATTGTCTTCGGGCTGGGCGAGCGCGAGCTCGAGCATCGGGATTCGTCACGAATGTACGAATCGTACGGCGGTCGTCGAATCTGGTGGCTTTAACGAACATCAACGGCACGGTGTTCGCGCAGAGGAGACAAGCTCGACGGAGGAAAGTGATTAACGAGAGGAAGTTTCGACGGACGAATATAACTCTGGTCGAATGTCAACGGAGCGGTGTTGGTAGAGGAAGACGGATTCGAAAGGAGAGTGATTAATAGAGAACCGTGAGCTGGAATCGTGTCGCGAATCCGAGCCGTGGGAGAAAATTCTCCATCGTCTCGACGACGACGATTAAGACGACGGGTTGTCGATCGCGATCGAAATTCGCAATTCTGGAAACCGGAAGAGTCGTCGGCGGAGGGAAAAATCGTGAGAGAGGAACGACCGCGTGGATAGAAAAGGGAATTGGGCACCGAAGGAAGGCTCTATGAACGTGCATCCGTACTCACTTGAAGAGTGGAGGTGCCTCGTTGCCACCTCTCGGCAACCGACGCAGAGCGTCCCGTCGAAGACGAGACCCGACTGTCCGCGAATTCTGGTGATCGTGACCGAGGAGGCATCTGTGCCGGGAAAAGTGGCTCATCATGTCCGTGCTGGAGGCCGGTGAAGCCGACAGGTCGACGATGTCGCCGCTGGACGAAGTCGTGTCCCCGACGAGCGTCGAGTCGGAACTGATGGTCACCGACATGTTGGACGAGCACGAGACCACGCTGAACGAGCACAGGGACGGCAAGCGCAAGAGAGACACGGACGGCGAGGAGCTGACACCCAGGAAGTTGCCCTCACTCACCAGGAACAACAACGACGTGGGCTTCGTCCTCGAGGAGAGCGCCGACGACGATCTCCACGAGGACAGAGATGACGTAAGTTCCACTCGATTTTATCCTTCTCCGACGTCCAAAGAATCTTTCTTTTCCGGTGAATAAGTCGATTTTACGAGGACCGGTTCTTCTCGTTCGTATCATTCGTCTTAGCGAGTGGAGATCGAACGGATCGTGACGGTGGTATGATTATTTTCTAAAGGAACCAACGTGGGAATGCAAATTTGAAAAATTCTACGCGCCATTTCTACGCGACGATGTACACGCGTGCGGTGTCATAGGCTTGAGGATCTTATTGTTAGATGAAAAAGGGCCATGACAGGGAAAGCGAGTCAAAATAACGTGGACAAAACAAAAATCAGACCAATCGAAGGCTCGAGGGTAGTTTTAACCCCTTCGTCTACGATATCGTGCGAGACACGTGGTATTACGAATGGTAGGATTGGGTCAGACGCGAGTATCACGGGCGCGAGACGTTCGTGGATTGGGTCCAATGTAAACACCGCTGGTCAGGCTCGAGGTTAATTTTCGTCGACGTTATCGTCTCAGTTGGGTGTTATTCTTCGTCGCGTTCGGACGAGGTGACTCGAGGTTAATTTTCGTCGATGTTTTTCTCGCTCAGTTGCGTGTTATTCTTCGTCGCGTTCGGACGTAGTGACTCTGTGTGTGACCGAGCTTGCTGTTCGCTATGGCACGCGCCACCGGAAGTTAAACGGTAAGACAAGAACGATTTATTAAAGGAGATTAGGGATAACGAGAGACGATTCTTCTCGAGGAGTGTCGCACGAGACTCGGTAGCTAAAGATACAACTCGTGAGGAGAGTTGTCAATAGTTATTTCGCATATGTATCGCTATTTAATCAACCGTTGTCCTCACTTCGATCTTATTTAAACTACATACACAGATACCTCCCGCGTGTTTCGTTTTTAGGCGTTTAGAATCGTTATTCTTTGCACGGTGCTTTGTTACTGGCATCTGCACAGTAGGATTTGACAGAGTTTAGCCTTCCTTTTACCGTTATAGCGTTCAAACCATTCCGGGAAAATCCTGTTTCCCGGAAAGGGCATACCGATTAGTCTACAGCGATTGACAGGAGCAGTAGCTCGGCCTAATCGCGAATTATGTCGATTACCCAGATTCTAGCTATCACTGACTGGACGTAGGTAACGCGCGTCGAAGGAAACGAACGATAAGTATCGAAACGAGACACTCTTCCCTATGGGTCGTCCTAACGGACGTCTGTAGTACCCGAGACCACGGGGTCGTCCCCGAAGGAAGGGAACCGAGGTAAACGTCGATAACGCTGAATAACACCGTGGAAGCATCGATCCCATGGCGTTATTTCCCTCGGTTCGCGCAGACATCTCGAGCCAGGCGAAAAACGAATATCTCGGAGGCCATATCGCGAAACTTGAGAACGCACACCACCGTGTGTGCCAGCGTTTCAGTGACATTTATCCTCTTTTAAAGCGTACTCCATAACCCTGCTCGACGGACGGGTCTCAAACTACATTGCGTAGAAACTAAATTCTCACGTGGCAAGTGAAAGAGCAGCTGTCGGTTGAAGTGTCCGCCTACGCATGGTTATACCTGCTCCACTGTCGTGAGCGTATTCAACTCTGACATACGGCAACAAATCAGGTGTCTGGATCCAGGACTATAATAAAACGAAGCTATTAGCGCGTCATCTTTACGGTCCAGGAAGCCAGATGCATAGCCGCTCCTTATTTAGTCGAGGCGCCCTTTCCTTCGCCCTGCCTTCGTCCGGATCAGCTGATTCGGGGTCCCTCGGTCGGAAGTCTTTTCGGAGTTCTCGGATCCACGGAGATAACGGTCGCGCGTGTAAATAGCCGTACGATCTATGGGGGATAATTGGGCGTACGGAAAAATGCTCTCGGATGAGGAATCGTGTACGATGAAACGATCCAAACGTTCCTTTCCTCGAGCACAGATTCGAAGGTAACGATGATCGGCTAGAAAATCATTTCGAGATCTTTAACGTTGCGTAAGGATGATGGTTATGGGAGTCGTGTAGGATTTATTGCACGTAATTGGACGCGCTGTGTCCCGCGGTTAGAGATCTTATTTTTTTAGACACATTACGCACAGTTTTCTAGTATTTGTTGGAAGCGTTATTCTCGATGGCGGGATGTACTTTTTAATTTTATTTAACAATTTCATCCTCGTTTATCAGGGATAATCGTTACGCAGAAAAGTTATCAGTCCGATTCAATCAGAAATTTTCTCTTCTTCCCTTAATCCCAAATAATGACGGTGACTGCGATAGGTTTTTTCTCAGAGCCCGTGTAATTACACGCGGGCAATTTCATGCTAATGATAAAATAGCTGTAATTATAGTAGTCGTTTCTTTAATCCGGGAAGCGTTCTCTTTGCGACTGGTTCTGTGCGCGGTGGATTTTCTAAAAAATGAAACCTTGTTAGCGTAAATTATCCCATGCCCCGTGAACGCACACGTAACCTCTGCACCCATGGTACGTAACCCCAAAAGCAGTTATCAAATTTCTCCGGCGCATAACGAAGCGCACGCATCATCGTTTATTGCATCATACTGTAACGTTATAATTGCTGTCGTAAAGGCAACGCGAACGTTGCCTCCGAGCATCCATTAGGCGCCTTCCGTAAGGCGGCGGTGTTCAAAAACGAAACGTTAAAAACGATATTCCCGCCATCTTCGCGAACAATGTCCCCTCGCGATATTTAAAATAAGAGGGAGAGAAAGAGAGAAGAGAAGAGGAAGGAAAAATATTTTTAAAAGACATGGCCAAACAAGGATGTCGAACGGGCTGTGAACAAGACACAGCGGTAAATCTCGGCTTCTCCAAAATTGTTTTCTCATCCAGCGAACATCGTAACATCGTACTTGTTAAATTTCACGCTCGTCATAAAATCCTCGATTGCCTGTCTTAACGGTCGACGAGTGTCATTCGCGCGTCCTCGATTGCTTCTTCCTCCAAGATCATCGTGTTCTAGCCTCTACCTCGTCACGACTATTTTCGTGGATCACGGAATTAGCGACATTAACGATCGTTGAATATCATTCTCTCGAATATCTTGTAAACATCCTCTCCCACCGATTCTTCTTCTCCTCCTCTTTATTTATCCAATCTTACTCGACGAAGGAACTTCGATATTCCTCATCACGGTCGATTCGTTGTTAAAATTTAGCACTATCCAAATGGAAACTCGCGATCGAGGGTGCACCGTGATCACTGACTCTCGAAGTCCACTCTCGAAAACGGGGACAGAGGCCAACGAGGCGCGCTGGCGCGTAGGCAGGATTGTCGTAGGATACGAGCCCGTGCACGAGGTCACGAAACGGGTTTCAGGAAAAATCTACGCGCGATCCTGAGATGCGACCACGCGGTATCCTATATCCACGGCCACCGTTCCGCGTCGCTCTCGGCAGCGATCCAACGTCGATCGCTATTAAAGGTTCCATTAGCCGCGTTTCCTGTGGGTACGTGTCCACACGGAGCAGTGTTCTCCCGCGAATGCTTTCTCTCCTAGCGAGTGCACTGTCGGATCGAGTGGATCAAACGAAGCGTGTCGTAGAGTAGGTGCACGAAAGTCAGCTACGTCGCGGTTGAAATTGACGCATGGATCAATCGGGATTGCGAGATGACAGCGGCTTCCCCTGGGTTTACTTGCGAATAAACCCGAGTCCCTTCCAGGAAAATTTCTTAATCGCGTCGACGAAATATTGACAGGTTTACAGTAGTTAGGGAACTACCCTCGCGTATAGAAATGATAGTAAAGAAAGTAAATATTTATCTTATTTGTTTATTTATTTGTCTTAACGTGTGAGAACCTGAAGAAAAATAATAATACAGTATAGAGTTATCAAGAGTTGTTGTTGGCCGATTAAAGATACGATATGCTAGGCTTAAAATGAGAGGGTGAACAGAACAAATTTTAGGATTGGGAGAAACGGTTAACATTAACACTAGATTTACGGAACCCGTCAATTTGACGGATGGATTGCTCCAATTATACGATGGTAATACTGTTAACCATTTGTACTCGAGAGGTGAGCTTCAGTCACCATTTCATAAAATTTGGAAGATCAGTATTAATTAATATATCAAATTTAACGTAATGTAACAATGTGCAAGGTATCGAAATTAAATAATTCTACAATTCTATTATTATACAATTCTTTATTTACTGCTCAAAAAGGTATCGTCGGTTGTTTAATAGAGAATCTTTGAATTTCTACTCTGTTCTAGTCAAAAAATCGTCGAGTGCAAAGGGTTAATATTGTAATTGTTTGTAAATTAAACTAATCGTTAAAAAGAATGACACGTGGTTTCCTTTACCTGTCAATTTGACAGGTGTTAAATATGTAGAAATAGATATACAGATAGCGTTCGTAAACCTAGTGTTAATAAAAATTCTGTTGAAACAGTTGTAGTGATCGTAGAGGTACTTGTGCTGCTCCTGTTTCAAAAAATTACGTTATCTTAAAGATACATGGGATGCATCTAAATTAAACATATAATACATAAAATTTGGAAACAGTTAATGACGCCATATTTGAATACAGAATAATATTAATCTTGTCAGCTGAATATTTCTAGTGCTAGGAAAATAGAGTCTGAAACTAGTCCTTTTGTCACTTTGATAGTTGTTCGAGTATCGATTGAAATATCGAATCTTTTCCGATAACTCGCGTTGCTAGAGAAAAGCGATTAAATTATCTCGAACGCGATGAAACGCGGCATTTGTATCCCCGCGCGTTTCACTCGATATTCCTTCTATATCGCGTGGCATTAATTATTCATTAGAAAAAGGGATTACCGGAGAGAAAACAATATCTCAAAGCTTAACCAGCCGGCGCATCAAATAACAATCAGCCGAGGAATTTATTTCATTTCCGACCCGTTTATCCCCGACGCAATTAAAAATCTTTAGAATAAACCGTAAATCAATCTTTACAAGCGTTCGTGCTGGGGAAAAAAGGAGAAAGAAAGAGGGGAGAGAAAAATCGGCGAAAATAATAAACGATTCGCGTAACAGCGAG